CTTTTCATTCATAACATCAGCAATCATCTGTTTCTTGTCATCCGCACTGCATCCACGCACATTCAAGCATCCCAGTTTTATAAAGTTTTTCTTCTTCTCTTTTTTAGTAAATGTCTACAGGAGAAGGGGTTACTAGCCCATTGCTCCCGGCATTTTAGTCGCCTCATACGACACGCATGGCTTACGGAGGAAAGATTCTTTTCCACTTCCCCATGGACAATAGAAGAAATAAAGAAGAACAAGAGCTATTTAGAAAAAGGAGAAAAACCTAGATGTATGTATATATATATGCATGTGCATGTCTGTGAAGTGTGACCAAAGTGTAAGTAGGAGTAGCAAGATATCCCTGTTATCTAGCGTATTTATGAGACAGAAAAAGGAACCAGCAATCCTACCATCATGCAAAACAGTTACAGGTTTCTGTTTCACAGTCATCTGGCAGGATGGTAGTACTTCCCTGGGTGGTTACTGTCTACCAACCTACTACCTACAATATATATGAGATACAGATGAGATACAATTATTCAGTATTTATTTAGTTGTGGGTGAGTAAGTGATTTTTGAGAAGAGACTTGAATTTATAAAAAGACAGTGTTTCTTTTATATTCACAGGTAATGAATTCCAGATTTTAGGGCCTTTTATGTGCATTGAGTTTTTGCATAGCGTGCGATGGACACGAGGAACATCAAAGAGTGATCTGTGTCTTGTGTTATGGTCATGTGTTCTGTTGAGGTTGGTAAGGTTAAGTGTTCTATGTATGTAGTAGGTGCAGTAATAAGTATGGATGTTTTGTATTGTGAGTAGATTTAGAGTTTTGAATATTGGTGGAGTGTGCTGTCTGAAGTGGGAATTTGTTATCATTCTGACTGCAGCCTTTTGTTGGGTGATTAGTGGTCTGAGATGGTATATTGTTGTTGAGCCCCATGCACAAATTCCATAGGTGAGATAGGGGTAAATAAGTGAGTGATATAGGGCCAGGAGGGCTGATTGTGGAACATAGTATTGTATCTTCGATAGTATGGCTACGGTCTTGGAAATTTTTTTGGAAATTTGTTGTATGTGTGTTTGAAATTTGAGTCTATTATCAAGGTGGATGCCTAGGAATTTTCCCTCTGTGAGTTTTGTGATAGGTGATCCATTTATCATTATGTTAAGAGACACATCTGCAGCTCTGTTACCAAACTGAATGTAGTAGGTTTTGTCAATGTTCAGAGTAAGTTTGTTGGTCCTCATCCAGGTTGATATTTTCCGTAATTTGGTATTTACAATATTGGCTAGCATGACTGGGCTCGGGTGAGAGTAGATGTATGTAGTGTCATCTGTAAATAGTGTGGGTTTGAGTAGTTGTGATGCATTTGGTAGGTCATTTATGTATATGAGAAAGAGAAGAGGGCCTAGGACACTTCCCTGTGGGACACCAACTGTAATTGGCTGTGCAGAAGAGTTTGCCCCATTTGTGTATACATATTGGCTTCTGTTGCTGAGGTATGACTTTAGGTAGTTGAGGGAGTGCCCTCTTATGCCATTGTGCGACAATTTTATGTGGAGCAAGTCGTGGTCAACTGTATCGAAAGCTTTACGTAAGTCAATGAAGATCCCCAATGGGACTTCTTTTTTCTCTATTGCTGTATAAATATGTTCTAGCATATGGATAATAGCATCATTAGTATTTTTATTAGGCCTGAACCCAAATTGACAGGGGTTGAGTATGTTGTGGGAGATAAGGTAGGAATAGATACGCTTATGGATTAATTTTTCAAAGATTTTAGAGAAAGGGTGTAAGTTGGATATTGGCTTATAGTTACTCAAGTCTGTGTGGTCTCCTCCTTTATGGATCAGGGTGACCCTTGCTATTTTGAGAACTGTAGAAAAGGTAGAGGATTCAATGGATTTGTTAAAGAGTGTTGCAATGATTGGTGATAGTACTTGTGACGCTTTTTTGTATATAAAGGGTGGTAAGGTATTTAAATCTCCTGTCTTGTTTTTTAGTTTGTTGATAATAAGGGAGACTTCAGTTGGGTTAGTCGGAGCTAGGAACAGTGTGTTCGGGTAGTTGCCAGTGAGGTAGTCATTGGGTGGGGTATCTGAGCTTGGGATTTTTTTGGCAAGGTTTTTTCCTATAGTGGAGAAGAAATCATTGAGTCTGTTTGCTGTTTCAGTAGGTGGGAATTGGGGTTCATCTGGTTTTGTTAATTCAGTTTCGCTATTTTGTGTTATCTTTTTTGTTCCTAGTATTTCTGATACGGTTTTCCAGGTCTTTTTTATGTCACATCATAAGCTGGATACTCTGTTCTCATAATACAATTTTTTAGCCTTTCTTATTAGGCTGGTTAGGATTGACGAGTAACGTTTTGTTTGGTCTCTGGTTATGTGGCCCATTCTGTACTGTTTTTCGTATAGGTGCTTTGTATTTATGGATTGAGGATACTGGGTGTTAGCCAGGGACTGTTCAGTCTCTTTGCAGCCATCTGTTTAGTTTTTTTAGGGCAGTGCTTGTTATAGAGGTATTGGGTCTTTTTTAGAAAATTATTAATACATTCGTCAATATCTGTAAAGATTTCTAGCTCAGTGTGCCAGTCAATGTTTGTCACTGCTGCTGTGAAGTTATTGATAGCTGCCTCATTGTAAGTCTGAAAGTGACTTTAGTAGTGTCTAGGGGTAATTTGCCAAGGTTTGTTATGAGGAAGGTAGGGTAATGGTCTGTGGTATTATCTGTGATTATGCCTGATCTTAAGGGGGATATGGAGTTGGTCCAGATGTGGTCTAGTAGGGAAACACTAGTCTCTGTAACTCTTGTAGGTTTTGTTACTGTTGGTAGCAACATGCAGTTACTCATAGTGTTTGTGAATGCAGTAACATGTGGGTCCTGGTCTTGTAGGAGATTTATATTGAAGTCACCTGAGAGTAGTAAGTGATCTTTGTTCATGCGTGCATCAGTTATCATACTTCCTAGGTTTTCACTAAAATGGCTAATGTTTGACTGTGGTACTCTGTAGATGTTTATCACTGTGAGTGGTTTTTGTAGGTATTTGGATTTGAATTTAGCTATTATATATTCCCCATGTTCATCCATTGTGCAAGTATTAGTGATACATTCTAGTTGGTCTGAGTAGTATATAGCTGTGCCACCCCCTTGTTGATCTGGCCTACAGTTGTGTATGGCTGTGTAACCAGGAATGGCATAGACATCTGTAGTATCAGGCTTTAGCCAGGTTTCAGTGAAAGTAACAGTCATACTGACAGGTGAACATTTTCACCTGCCTTGGTCATTTACTATTGTCTAGAAATGTATACAAAGTAGTTATAGGTCCCAGCAATGTTTTAGACACACTGGAGTATGAAACTTCTTGAAGAATCGTGTTATGACAAGGGTCAGATAAGTGACATCTGATGAATGTGCGCTGCTGGAGGGAACCTTGTTTTTATATGTTTTTACTCTTGCACACAAACATTTCTCTGTATGTCTGTTTGTCAGTCTATTTGTCTGTCTGCCTGTCTGTCTGCCTGTCTGTTTGTCTGTCTGTCTGTCTGTGCTCATCTGTCTGTCTAGTCCTGCTTATCTGTCTTTCTGTCTGTGTGTGCCTGGAGTATAATATGAAACTCCTTGAAGAATGTTGTTATGATAAGCATGAGATAACAAGTGACAGCCAGAGACATTTGATGAATGTGCACTGCTGGAGGGAACCTTGCCTTTATATGTTTTACTCTTGCACACAAACATGTCTCTCTATGTCTGTCTGTCAGTCTGTCTGCCTGTCTACCTGTCTGCCTGTCTATCTATCCATCTGTGTCTAGCTCTGCTTATCTGTCTGTTTAATTCTGATAATCTATCTTTCAGTCTGCCTTTGTGTGTCTGTCCTTCCATCTGCTAGTCTCTGTCTCAAGGAGTGGCTAGTAAACCTGTTGGTTTGTGGTGTATGTGCTGCTCCCTGACTGCTGAGCAAGTGACACTGCTATTACTTGCATCATGTTTATTTAGGTCTTATATCTATAAACACTGTATAGCGCTTGACCTGGATTTTTTGGGTTATCCTAAGTAATTTACACTACGTATAATAACTGTACTTATGAGTACATGTGAGAGACAGATATAGATAGACAGAGACAGACAGATAGACAGAGATATAGACAGATATAGATATAAATAAACAGAGATATAGACAGAGACAGCCAAAGCCAGCCGAATGCATAAGAACATAAGAAAGAAGGAACACTGCAGCAGACCTACTGGCCCATGCAAGGCAAGTCCATGTCACCCCTCAGCCTAGAACAATGACCCACCTAGTCAGGTCACATCCACTGAAGGAAGGAGCACAGCATCTGACCTAGTAGCACAAGCTAGTCAGGTCCAAATCACACCCACCCACACTCACTCATGTATTTATCTAACCTATTTTTACTTTCCTCTTAAAATGTGAGTGTTAATATGACATGACATCAGTGAATCACTGGTGTTTACCACACTATTTGCCCTAGATGGCGCTCTGTTGAACTAGTGCTCCCACAAGGTACTAAGTGCTCCCTGATTTTTTTCATACTGCACACACTGAGTGCATAGACCCATTCTTTCATGTCTAGGCACCTCAGGCCTATCATGCCAAGTTTGAAGGAATGAAAAATAAAACATTGATCTATGTTTGGAGCACTGCGCATATGCACGTAGATCTACGTGTGGACAGTTAAGGGTTAATTAAAGCAATATAAAACATACTTGAAAGATTACTAGACTTGTGTGCCACAGTGATCACAGTATAAGACTGGCATGTATGCCACAGTGATCACAGTATAAGACTGACCTATGTGCCACAGTGATCACAGTACAAGACTGACCTGTGTACAACAATGGTTATAGTACAAGATTGACTTGTGTGCCACAGTGATCATAGTACAGGACTGACCTATGTGCACAGTGATTATAGTACAAGATTGACCTGTGTGCCACAGTGATCATAGTACAGGACTGACCTGTGTGCCACAGTGATCATAGTACAGGACTGACCTGTGTGCCACAGTGATCATAGTACAAGACTGAAACGCCATCTTGAGTGTTTGTTGGATCAAGTGATCAGTCTCGGTGTCGATGGATGCCGTTGCTTCATCCAGGAATATTATCTGAAGCAGTCAAGAGGATCACATTAACATTATTGTCAAAGTAAATATGGATAAATTAAATAAGAGTGACTTGTGATAACAATTCTAACATATTATAAACCGCTTTATCTTTGTTAATACTAACATGGAGGTACAGTGAGTCATACAGTATAAAGATCATGTACTGTACAGTATACCAGGTGACACTGAGTCAGGTGGTGGGAGGTACTGTCCTGGTAGATGGTGTGGAACTTAAGATGATAGATGGTGTGGAACCTAACATGATAGATGGTGTGGAATCTAACATGATAGATGGTGTGGAGCCTAACATGATAGATGTTGTGGAACCTAACATGATAGATGGGTGTGGCACCTAACATGATAGATGGTGTGGAACCTAACATGATAGATGGTGTGGAACCTAACATGATAGATGGTGTGGAGCCTAACATGATAGATGGTGTGGAACCTAACATGATAGATGTTGTGGAACCTAACATGATAGATGGGTGTGGCACCTAACATGATAGATGGTGTGGAACCTAACATGATAAATGGTGTGGAACCTAACATGATAAATGGTGTGGATCCTAACATGATAGATGGTGTGGAACCTAACATAGAGATGGTGTGGAACTTAACATGATAGATGGTGTGGAACCTAACATGATAGATGTTGTGGAACCTAACATGATAGATGGGTGTGGCACCTAACATGATAGATGGTGTGGAACCTAACATGATAGATGGTGTGGATCCTAACATGATAGATGTTGTGGAACCTAACATGATAGATGGGTGTGGCACCTAACATGATAGATGGTGTGGAACCTAACATGATAAATGGTGTGGATCCTAACATGATAGATGGTGTGGAACCTAACACGATAAATGGTGTGGATCCTAACATGATAGATGGTGTGGAACCTAACATAGAGATGGTGTGGAACTTAACATGATAGATGGTGTGGAACCTAACATGATAGATGGTGTGGAACCTAACATGATAGATGTTGTGGAACCTAACATGATAGATGGGTGTGGCACCTAACATGATAGATGGTGTGGAACCTAACATGATAAATGGTGTGGATCCTAACATGATAGATGGTGTGGAACCTAACATAGAGATGGTGTGGAACTTAACATGATAGATGGTGTGGAACCTAACATGATAGATGGTGTGGAACCTAACATGATAGATGTTGTGGAACCTAACATGGTAGATGGGTGTGGCACCTAACATGATAGATGGTGTGGAACCTAACATGATAAATGGTGTGGATCCTAACATGATAGATGGTGTGGAACCTAACATGATAAATGGTGTGGATCCTAACATGATAGATGGTGTGGAACTACATAGAGATGGTGTGGAACTTAACATGATAGATGGTGTGGAACCTAACATGATAGATGGTGTGGAACCTAACATGATAGATGGTGTGGCACATAACATGATAGATGGTGTGGAACCTAACATGATAGATGTTGTGGAACCTAACATGATAGATGGGTGTGGCACCTAACATGATAGATGGTGTGGAACCTAACATGATAAATGGTGTGGATCCAAACATTATAGATGGTGTGGAACCTAACATGATAAATGGTGTGGATCCTAACATGATAGATGGTGTGGAACCTAACATAGAGATGGTGTGGAACTTAACATGATAGATGGTGTGGAACCTAACATGATAGATGGTGTGGAACCTAACATGATAGATGGTGTGGCACATAACATGATAGATGGTGTGGAACCTAACATGATAGATGTTGTGGAACCTAACATGATAGATGGGTGTGGCACCTAACATGATAGATGGTGTGGAACCTAACATGATAAATGGTGTGGATCCTAACATGATAGATGGTGTGGAACCTAACATGATAAATGGTGTGGATCCTAACATGATAAATGGTGTGGATCCTAACATGATAGATGGTGTGGAACCTAACATAGAGATGGTGTGGAACTTAACATGATAGATGGTGTGGAACCTAACATGATAAAAGGTGTGGAACCTAACATGACAAATGGTGTAGAACCTAACATGATAGATGGTGTGGATCCTAACATGATACATGGTGTGGAACCTAACATGAGAGATGGTGTGGAACCTAACATGATAGATGATGTGGAACCTAACATGATAGGTGTGGAACCTAACATGATAGATGGTGTGGAACCTAACATGATAGATGGTGTGGAACCTAACATGACAGATGGTGTGGAGCCTAACATGACAGATGGTGTGAAACCTAACATGATAGATGGTGTGGATCCTAACATGATAGATGGTGTGGAACCTAACATGACAGGTGTGGATGATAGATGGTGTGGAACCTAACATGACAGGTGTGGATGATAGATGGTGTGGAACCTAACATGATAGAAGGTGTGGAACCTAACATGACAGATGGTGTAGAACCTAACATGATAGATGGTGTGGATCCTAACATGAGAAATGGTGTGGAACCTAACATGATAGATGGTGTAGAACCTAACATGATAGATGGTGTGGAACCTGACATGATAGATGGTGTGGAACCTAACATGATAGATGGTGTGGAGCCTAACATGATAGATGGTGTGGAACCTAACATGATAGATGGTGTGGAACCTAACATGATAGATGGTGTGGAACCTAACATGATAGATGGTGTGGAATTTAACATGATAGAAGGTGCAGAACCTAACATGATAGATGGTGTGGAACCTAACATGATAGGTGTGGAACCTAACATGATAGATGGTGTGGAACCTAACATGACAGATGGTGTGGAGCCTAACATGACAGATGGTGTGGAACCTAACATGACAGATGGTGTGGAACCTAACATGAGAAATGGTGTGGAACCTAACATGATAGATGGTGTGGAACCTGACATGATAGATGGTGTGGATCCTAACATGATAGATGGTGTGGAACCTAACATGATAGATGGTGTGGAACCTAACATGATAGATGGTGTGGAACTTAACATGATAGAAGGTGCAGAACCTAACATGATAGATGGTGTGGAACCTAACATGATAGATGGTGTGGAGCCTAACATGATAGATGGTGTGGAACCTAACATGACAGATGGTGTGGAACCTAACATGATAGATGGTGTGGAACCTAACATGATAGATGGTGTGGAACCTAACATAGAGATGGTGTGGAACTTAACATGAGAAATTTTGTGGAACCTAACATGATAGATGGTATAGAACCTAACATGATAGAAGGTGTGGAACCTAACATGACAGATGGTGTAGAACCTAACATGATAGATGATGTGGAACCTAACATGAGAGATGGTGTGGAACCTAACATGAGAGATGGTGTGGAACCTAACATGATAGATGATGTGGAACCTAATATGATAGATGGTGTGGATCCTAACATGATAGATAGTGTGGAACCTAACATGAGAGATAGTGTGGAACCTAGCATAAGAGATGGTGTGGAACATAACATAATAGATGGTGCAGATCCTAACATGATAGATGGTGTGGAACCTAACATGAGAGATGGTGTGGAACCTAACATAATAGATGGTGAGGAACCCAATACGACAGATGGTGTGGACACTAACATGATAAATGGTGTGCAATCTATCTTCACTTGGTGTTACTCCATATTTTCAGATAATGAGTTGCATAAAAGGTGGTACAATGATAATGTTATAATGAACAAAATGACAATGCTATAATGAACAACGGCAATGATTACAGTAATGATTCAGATTCATATATTTCTTTGCAAGTACAGTGGACCCCCGCCTTACGTACGCATCTCATTATGTTAAATCCACCACACGAAGCATTTGAACGCAAAAAATTTGCCCCGCCTCACGATAAAAAACTCGCCTTACATGATTCGTCCGGGACATGTCCCACGTGTGGCCTCAGCACCAGTGTTTACAAGCCAGCCAGTGCAGTCGCATCTACACATACATTCAGTACATTTCACATTATCCCAGTGTTTTTAGTGCTTGTAACTGCAAGTGCTTGTAACTGCGAGAATTAGTATGGAATTGAAAAAAGAGATTAAGGAAATGTGTGCAAAGTGGGTTGAACTGCAAACCTTTATGGATGAAAATCACCCTGACACAGCTAGTGCAAGCTGTGTTGGATTAGATTTTGCCACCGAAGTGGCTAGTTTATTGTGCACCCCATATCCATCCTGTGGACGGTAGCGCAAGAGCATATGGATACATGAAAGGCCTAGGAACTAGGCCCCTGTACAATGACAATGTTATGGCCCATTTTAGGAAAGTCTTAAAGGAACGGGAGGTACAGAGCTCTATGGACAGATTTGTTGTGCGACAGTGGTCCAGTGACTCTCAAGCCGGTCCTAGTGGCATTAAAAGAAGAAGGGAAGTAACCCCAGAAAAGGACTTGCTACCTCAAGTCCTAATGGTAGGGGATTCCCCTTCTAAACAATAACTTCCACACACTTCCCTCCTCCCATCCCATCAATCATCACCAGATCTTCAATAAAGGTAAATGTCATGTATTCTATTCTTAGTAGAGTAGTAACTGTGCATGCCTTCTTCAGTTTGTGTGTATTTAAATTAACCCTTTGACTGTTTATGCCGTATATATACGTCTTACACACCACTGCTTCTGACGTATTTATACGCATAAATTCTAGCAGCTTCAAATCAAGCAGGAGAAAGCTGGTAGGCCCACATGTGAGAGAATGGGTCTCCATGGTTAGTGTGCACCATATAAAAAAAATTGGGGAGCCAGTGGTGCATTGTGGGAACGCCATTTCAGTTGTCCTTTTTCAGCATGCTTAGCGGTAAGAAGTATGAGACTCCCCAGCAAATCTGGGACTCTTCTCTTCCCAAGTGATCCTCTAACACAGACGGAAGTGTCAGTGAAGATCAATTTCATGATTTGGAGGAGTTTGAGACCAAAAGCAATGGAGGAGGAGGAGGAAGAAGAGGAGGAGGAGGAGGAGGGGGAGGAAGAGGAGGAGGGGGAGGAAGGAGGAGGAGGAGGAAGAGGAAGAGGAGGAGGA